TCTTCCCAGCTTGATAAGGACAAGCAGCCTGCGCAGAAACTCACTTTTCATAATCACATAAATGTATATATTGCATATAGTTTCCGGAGTTGTTGAAAATTCTATTTCTAAATATCTTGCTGGGAGATGGAAATTGTGGAAATCAATTCGAGAGATCCGAAGTAAAACTTTGAACAAAAGCGAATAAAACAATAAAGCACATAAAACACAAGTTTAATGCGGAAAATCCGAGAACGAGAAAAATTATGAAGAAAAATAAGGAGAATAATACAAATTACACCAAACTCAATCCTCTCAAAACTTATGATACAAGGATACTGACACTCTACTCATTGCATAAGAGAATTTAAAATCTCACACAAAAATTGCAAAAAGAACTGCTTAAAACGAACTCTCGCTTCGCAGCGCTGCGATGTAGTGATGTGGCGCTATAACAATAGTGCTAGGGCGCTTTCATATGACTCTGTGGTGTCATGCTTTGGGGTTTTAGGACAGATTTGCTTCCAAGAGTAGTGTTGCTACTGAAGTGTTGCAACACTGATATTCTAGCATTGCGGGTACAACTCTGAGGTGTTATGTACGGAATTTTTGTTTTATAAGGGGCACTACCCCACAACAAATTCACTGCCGAGTTGCTACTGAAGTGTTGCAACACTGATATTCTAGCGTTGCGGGTACAACTCTGAGGTGTATGTATGGAATTTTTGTTTTAATAGGGGGCACTACCCCACAACAAATTCACTGCCGCGCAGATTGGTGAAATTGAGGGCTTTGAGTTGACAATCGATCGACACAACCAAGCTCCACATACTAACATATTTATCCAACCATCTTTAAGTTAAACAAGTTCTGAAGGTACTTTATGAAAATCTCATTATTTATGCTCATAAGAAATGCAAGATGTGGACATTGAGACGAGCAAATTGATATTATGAACTTTTCTTTTACTTTTAATGGTTATTTTATTATTTTCTGATTTTATAATAGTTTGTTTTTTAGAAATATCTAATGAAGCTATGATGATGATCCGTTTAAATGATTGTGCCCTAATATCTATATTGATTCGATTTGATTCACTGTTGGCTCTCATATTTTTTTGCTCTTGGTTCTCTAGTTTTGTTGCACGTGATGACCACAATTTACAATGAAGTCCACTCTTTTTACCGGCATGGATCTTGGATTAACAGTACAGATATTTCTTTCATCCATTTCTTTTACTTTATAATTTAAGTTATTGACCAGCCTATTTACTGAATTTAGCCAAAATTTTAAATAATCTTTGATTGTTTTATTGCGTTTTGATTTTCTATCGACATGTTATATCATTGACCTTGAATTTTTATGTTAAAATTCTATGTTGGCAACCATTAAATTGTCATTTGAGATAAGTTTTCTATGTTTTTGCATTTTAATCATAAGGGATGCAAACTTTTTAATTTGATGGTTTTTAACTGCTAATTTCGATTCGGCGTGCATGTTTTTATTTCTAATTGCATCATATAGTCGTACTAAAAAAATCTTAATACTCTTAAGCATCCTGTATCAATACCAGTAATTAGCAGATAATTATGTTCTTGCTACCTTGAGAGCCACTCAACTCAGCTAACCATATACTCTTTGCTCGCTGCAGAAAACCTTGAGTGCAGGAAAACTAACCGAGAAAATCCTCAAGCTATTTATTTCAACTGGTAACGAGGAAATCATTCTTTTTGTGGAGTCGCTCAATATTAAGCAGATACTAATCCCCATCCTTCCTACCAGTATGAAGTTTCTTCTACTGACCACCCACTTAACTCATAAAACTAAAAGGCAAAACCTTACCTTGTTCTTTTCGCTGTTTCCAGGGTGCTCCGAAAGATTCTAGGAGAAACAACCAACTGTAAAGCTTCAAATTTCAAAAATGTTCTTCGAGATCGAGGACAATGAGGTCGACATTGTTATTGCTGCCCTTCGGCCAGATCTCACCGCATTTTTTAATGGATGGCGAACCATCTTTTCTAGATTTCATCTCATAATCATCAAAGACCCAGACTTGGAAGCCGACCTTCAGATTCCTCCCGGCTTTGATCACCATTTGTACACCAAATCCGACATCGAGAGAGTCATCGGCTCCAGTCCCATCAAATTTTCAGGCCATTCATGCCGCTATTTTGGTTATCTTGTTTCGACCAAGAAATACATCATATCGATTGATGATGATTGCCTTCCACTGCAAGATGATAGCGGCAATCTGACTGATGCGGTAGCGCAGCACCTGACGAACCTCGGGACACCAGCCACACCATCCTTCTTCAACACGCTTTACGATCCGTTCCGACAGGGCGCCGACTTCGTCCGCGGATACCCATTCAGCCTGCGAAACGGCGTCCAGTGCGTGTTATCCTCTGGTCTTTGGCTTAATATTGCCGACTATGATGCCCCAACTCGAGCTGTAAAGCCTCATGAGAAGAACACGAGATATGTCGATGCGGTGATTACGGTGCCTTCACGAGCATTGATGCCAGTGAGCGGGATCAACATTGGATTCGACCGGCGGGTGTTAGGGCCTGTGTTGGTGCCGGCGTTGCGGCTGAAAGGGGTGGGGAAGCAGAGGTGGGAAACAATGGAGGACATATGGTGTGGGATGTGTGCCAAGGTGGTCTGTGATCATCTGGGACTTGGGGTGAAGACTGGGCTCCCTTATGTGTGGAGGAATGGTTCTGGTAATGCTTGGGAATCACTGAAGAGGGAGTGGGAAGGGGTGAAGCTGATGGAGGAGATTGTGCCGTTCTTTCAGTCTGTGAAGCTGCCGAGAACGTTGACGGCTGCGGAGGATTGTGTTGTTCAAATAGCTGGTTTGGTGAGGGAACAACTGGGACCTGTTGATCCTGTGTTTGGGCTTGCGGCAGATGCCATGGAGGAATGGATTAAGCTTTGGAAGACCTTTGAGTTTGAGAGAAGATGAAGCGTGGGAAGAGGCTGTCATGGACAGCAGAAATGAAGCTTGATTTTTCTGATTTATGTGGGAGTGATGAAACCTTTTTTTATATTTGGAAATTGATTTGAGGATATTTTCTTTGGACTGTTATAACTTTATGTTCAAATTTTATTAAATGATAGATAACTTTGATCCTCCCATCATGAAATATTTGAAGGGTAAATAACGAAGAAAATATAGTTACTTATCACTTCAAAAAGGAGAATGAGAAAAAAACAAGTGGAATGTGAAGTTTAGAGCTTAAAGTTGCATCCATCAACCATTATGTTTTGCTTGATTTATCATTTCTAACCCTAAACATTAAGTGCTTATTCGGGATCAATTTTAATTTTTGTTTTTTGATTTTATTTTTTCTTTGTTTTTAAAAACATATTTGTTCGATGTGTTTTTAGCTTGTTTTTTTATTTTTTTATTTTAAAAAATAAATAAACATGCTTTTTAACACACTAAAAATAATTTTTTAAATGTTTAAAAAAATAGTCAAATTTTAATCAAATATATCAAATATATTTTCTTTCAAAAAAAAAAAAAATAGATAAAAAAAAAACAAAGGTTTATAAATCCCAGCTATACAAAATTTTAACCTTCTAAATTTTAAATATAAGATTTTAATCATAAAAAATTTTAAATATAACACTTTAACCACCTAAAACCTCCACTCAAAATATTCACTAGTGAGTAATGGGGAGTGGTTGTAATGGAAAGTGGTAAAAATATTATATTTAAAATTTAAAAGGTTAAAATGTTATATTGAACGTTGGTAGTTGGATATAAAAATCTAATAAAAAAAATTAAAGTGATCCCAAACGGCTTTTAATTTTAAGTTTTCGTTTTGGTATTTATATTTCTAAACAAACATTTAAAATTTAAAAGGTTAAAATGTTATATTGAACATTGGCAGTTGGATATAAAAATCTAATAAAAAAAATAAAAGTGATCCCAAACGGCTTTTAATTTTAAGATTTCGTTTTGGTATTTATATTTCTAAACAAATATTTTTATGTGTGTATTTTGGGTGGTGATTATAATTTGTTGTGATAGTGTAATTGTAAAGGATGACATCAATAGTGGTTGAGTGCATCTTTGCGTGGTATGATGAGCTGAGCTTCGAAGTTTGATTTTTAGTCATCATACATCAAATATATATATATATATACACACGACGCGTGCTCTGATCAATTAGTCGGACATCTGCTTGTCAATTGCTAGTCCCCTCTGGTCTGGGGTTCGATTCTCACAGAGTGTAGGGTGTGATACTCGAATTCTTAGACACATGAGGGATGACCGGGGCTTGTATAATAGCCCCCGTCCATTCGAAATAAAATATAAAAATTAAAAAAAAAAAACAAAATAAAATTATTATAAAACTAAAAATTAATCACAAACGAACTTTTAATGTTGGATCTATTATGGGGGGCATTAAGATTTTACTATCAATAATAGTTCAAACAAAAAAATAAAGAAATCAGAGTGATAGATTTTGATTGAGAAAGAACGAGAGTAATAAAAATTAAAATCTATAAAATTCATGATTAATTTGACATGAATATGTTCTAAGCTTAGTACTTGGACCCGCTATGCTCAGGTCAAAATTTTAATGCTCTAAAGTTATTACATTTGGATGCAAGCATTTGAAATTTAAATATATTTTAAATGTAAAAAAAAAAAAAAACAATTTAATGTAAAAAGAAAGCAGTTTTCAAGTAGCCATGTGAACCCATAAGCAGCAAAATCCCAGAGAGAGCACAACAACAAATAAAATTTTTTAATATTGGTGGGAATATTCTCCCCAAATTTTCATATTTTGCTCTTTTAATTAACAAAAAAAAAAAAATAAATTTTAATGAAGATCATATCTTTTTGCTCTATATAATTCTTGAAATACTAGAGTTTTATCTCAACCCAAATAAAGTGTGAAGTAATATGGACTAGAAAGAGAGAATTTTTTTAAAATTTGGCAGCTTATATAGTCTCAACATAAACCATAATTTGACTTAAGGTGCACCCATGGTTGAAAAAGAGCCATAAGAAATGCTATCTTTGAGGTTTGAAAAAGAGAATTAGCATTCAAAAAGTAAAGGGAATGAGATTCTTGACCATTGTTACGAATGAAATATTGATGAGGTGACATAATGCCTCTCGAGGAAAGGATGCCCGTTGCTTCAAGCTTCCCAATGGTGACTTCCCAAACAAATGAAGTGAATTTAAGAGAACAATTGATGAACAGGTAAGTTTTTGTCAAGAATCTTTAGGATGACTTTTATAAAAGTCAAAGTAGGAATCTTTGGGAGTGTAATACTTTTTTCCTATTTAGGAGCATTTAAGTAGTAAATTCTCAATGGAAATTTTATGTATGAGGCGTATTTGCATTCAACAAGAGTATTCTGAGTGATAAGTAGAAACTAAGTTCTGCTTCTAAACATAGCAAAAATCATAGACTCAGTTGAACATTGAAACCAAGTGAACATACGATTGCCAAATTTCTCATAGAGGGAAGTACCTTCAAACTAAGCTTCAAAAAAAAAAAAAAAAAAACTTGTCAAAGTTAGGGGTGTAAACAAGTCGAGCTTGAGCCAACTTCTTCTAGAGCTCGAGCTTGATTAATTTTATCAAGTTTAAGCTCGAGCTTAAGTCTACGAGTTTGAGCTGGCTAGCAAGTCAGCTTGTTTATCAACAAAGAGAAACTGATATTAATTTAAGCCAACTTTATAATAAAAATGAAAAATAAAATGAATAATTAGGAGATAAATAATAAGAAATCATATAATAAAAAAATATTATTTCATAAATAATTTTAATGCCTCAAAGAAAATGTCTTGAAATTTAATAGATTTTTAGTATATTTTATATTAATATTTTGTAAACAAGTCGGCTCAAGAGCCAACGAGCCAAGTTGAGGCTGGCTTGAGCTTGGTTTGTTAGCTCATTTAGCTTAGTTCACGAGCCACTTATCGGGCCGAGCTCACAAGTTGACTTAACTCACTTGCACCCTTAGTCAAAATTGATAAGATGAAAAGTAAAGCATCTCCTTAAATAAGTGATAGTTTTCATGAGTTTTTTCCAAATGAGAGGTAGCTATTTTCACATTTAAATTATAGAGAGCCAAAATTGTGAAAGTGTTAGAAGAATAAGTAGTATTACAGTTGTAAATTCTCTATATGTCCTTAGCTTTACACATTAAGTTGACACAATCAAGGTTGGGGAGCCCTAAACCCCTAATGTGTTTAGTTTTAGTAGTGGTATTCAAGCAATGAAATCCATAATATTGTTGGAAACTATCAGAATGTAAAAATTATTCATTAAAGAAGTAATTTTCTTCCTAATTCCCTTAGGAATAGTAGAGGATCTAAACCAATAGTGAAGATAATTCCATATAATTGATTTAATAAGTTATAATTTATTAGAAAATGAATGATTATTTTGCTTCCAAATAGTCAAATAGTGATGCCCTTTCTCCAATAGTTTGTGACGAGAGTAGTGGGTTCAAATGAGCTGCTAGTGATGCCCAAATGCTCCCAAGGGAGTGGTTTCTGTTAGAAAACAAGAATGCCACTATATTATAATTTATGTGGCTTAATCATATATTTTGAATAATAGGCAGTAGATTTATTAAGATTAGCTTGGAGAATGTAGACTTCATTAAAAGAGTGAAGAGTAAGATCCAATTTATTGATCTTATAAATTGATGCTTTGCCAAACACAAAAAGGTTATAAACATATATTAGATGGTTGATATTCTCATTATTCTCGAAGAATGGGTGCTATCAGTGCATATCTAACAATCTATAAAAAACACCCACTATAATTCTTAATATATATGAAGAATCCAGAGGATGAGAGAAGTAGTCTTAAAGCTAACTATTAATAATGATAGAGAAATGTACATTGATAGTGCATGCTTTAATCTAATTGATAAAAAATGAAAAAAAAATCTCATTTTATCCAATCTATCATAAATGAAGCTTCTTGTAATATAGTTGAAAGTTATTCTAAGATTACTTTTTGAATAATTCATTAGCTAAAATAGTATTATTAGAAATATCTTCTCTAGAAATAAAAGTTGCTTGAGTGGGGTGAATGATGTTAGGTAAGATGCTTTTAAGCCTTTGAGGAATAAATTTGGCAATGACCTTATAAATGGTGTTGTAGAAAGATATATGTCTATAGTCATTAAGCTCCCAGACATGCAGGCTTTTAGGGATAAAAGTGATGGTCAAATGTTTAACTTTTTTAGGAAGTTTAGAAGTTATAAAAAAAAATGCTTAATGGCTTTAATACAAGAATTGCCAATTATGTCTAGAGTATCTTTAAAATTTTGAGAAAAGATGCCAACGGGGCCATGGGATTTATCCGGACCAATATGAAAAAATATTTTTATTATATTCATCAGAGAAATCAATATGCAAGCAAAACAATTCCTTATGAGTTAACATTCAACCAACACAGATGAAAGCTGAAGTATTGGGCATTTGAGTGAAATAAGAAATAGTTTTCTTAGCCATACCTATTTAGAATTGACACAAAAACTATTAAAAAATAGCTCTCTGTTGTAGTTTGTATTGCCCTTACACTTGATTCTTTGAAAATAAAATATAATATCATCATCTCTTTAAACAACCAAGAGAATTTACCCTTTGTTTAATCCAAGTGCGCTCATAAGTTCTAGCTTCAGTATAGCTTGTTTTAAATCATAAAATGATAAAGTTGTTTGATTTTTTGTATAATAAAAGTACCAAATTAATTTAGATACTCATTTGAAATTAGGTATCTAAATCGTTCTCACCTTTTAATAATTTTTGTTGATGATATCCTTCTCGTGGATAAAAAGAGAGAAAAAACCCAGGAAAAACTTGAATTATGGAGGTTTACATTGGAGTCTAAAGGCCTTCATTTAAGTAGAACTAAAACTGAATACATGGAATGTAATTTTAGTAATAATAGCTCTAGTGACAGAAGTGTGTCTTTGGGTGATCAAATTATTAAATGGTGTGAACGATCTAGATATCTTGGGTCCGTTGTTCAAAGTGATGGTGATATAGATGGGGATGTTAATAGTAGAATTCAAGTTGGTTGGTTTAAGTGGAGGAATGCTTCGGGCCTTTTGTGTGATAGAAAAGTACCGCTTAGAATGAAAGGAAAATTT